AGAGAGAGAGAGAGAGAGAGAGAGAGAGAGAGAGCATTCTTCAGCATTCTTGGCATCACACACTGCTTTATTTTCTCTGTTTACTCCCCCTTCTGATTCGTTACGTTTGTTCACATTCCCTGAATGTTTCTGCCTGCAGGCCTACGACCCCACACAAGAAGATATCCGACCCGAGAAGGAGTTCCCTCACCCGGACTTCGACTACCACACGATAACCAACGATATCGCACTTATCAAGCTCAAGCACCCACCCTCCGCCTTCACCTCCCCCGGGTATGCGTGCCTGCCAACAGTTGATTTTAAACCTCCTCGAGATCAGCTGTGCTCCATTGTGGGCTGGGGCAAGCTGAAAAACACGCACATCTACGGGTCTGAATCCCTCATGGAGGCCAAAGTGCCGGTCGTACGACACCGGAAGTGTCAGCGGGTGTTTGCTTATGACATCACTGACAACCAAGTTTGCGCCGGCTACAAGCGAGGTGGGATTGACTCGTGCGCGGGTGACAGCGGTGGTCCGCTGTTGTGCAGCCGGTCTATAAACGGAACAGATAGGTATGTGCTGTTCGGCGTTACTAGCTACGGAGAAGGATGTGGTCGGAAGGGGAAGTACGGCATTTACACGAGAGTCAACAGTTATCTGGACTGGATAGAAAAGACCATCAGCGAGAACAGATGAGACGCGCCGCCCAAAGTGGGAGCGGATATCCGGAAATGACGTGTAATTTGACATTTGCTAGATAACTTGCGGCATTCTCAGACAGCTCGGAGTTTCTGTTTTCACACGAGTGTTGGTGGTGGCTGAAGATACGCTGTGCGTGAACTCGGGAAGAGGTGCGCATTTTAATTTTGGGAATCGAAACCGAATTGTGATGGGGGAGATGTGAGCTCTGGGATACATATTATTATGTTGTACTTTTATAGAATGGTTGGTCCTGCACAGTCTAATCTGTTGCGGAATCCATCTGAACTCTTCCCAAGAGACAGACTGTTGACTTGCCCAAGTATCAAAGCTGTTGCCATATTTTTTTTTTTTACTTCAGGGCAAAGTGGGCTCCGCCTGCTTGAGTTATCTTTGGGTATTTTGGTTTTGTTGTTTTTTCTACAATGCAGGTACATTATCCATGTCTCCGGCGATTTGTGTGTATATTCAAATTTTTCTGACCTCGTTCTTGTTCAGCCCACACCCAGCACACTCCCAAATCTCCAATTTGTTGTTGGTTCTTTTCAATTATTTCTGTACGTAACTTCCCGTTGGATCCTTCTCCCCAGTGGCCATAATGTTCTGTTTTCACGTGTTACTCGATTATGTAAGATGTACACCGGGTATGCCGCTCATTTTGTATTTCATGTTTTGTTTGTTGGTTTGTATTTTTTTGTATAAATTAGAATTTTTAGTGATTTGTCAACGTTCAGTGAGTAGCATAACATGTCAGACTGAGAGAGACGAGAATGTGATCAGAAGTATGGCCCTCGATAGACGTTGCAGCGAGACATAATAAGTACCATACTGGTTCTCGTTCGGAATGTACTTTGATAGCAATATTCAATTTGAGGCAAGTTGCATTTTACGTTTATCGAATCTTTTGACAGAAAAGAGACACAGGCGGTACTGATATTGTTGTCGGAACAAAATGAGTAAGCTCAGAGAAATGTAACTCGTAAAGAACATTGATGAGGCGAGAATTTTGTTGTTAAATTGTAAATATTTGCCAGCGATTATTTGCGATATATATAGAGAACTGAAAACTAATAATATAGCGTTAATTTTCGAAAATCTTCACTTTAGTTATCGAAACTGTTATAGCCATTCTTTTGAGATAAATGGATAATTATGAAAGTCTATGTTGATTTCGGCTTTATAGAAATTGGGCACAGTACTGAGAAATGTTATTTTTTGGCCTCTTTTTTATCTTACTCAAAGGACCCAAAATCCTTAAATTGTTCTATATATTTTCATAAGCTTTGCTTTGTCAAAATCTAAGCAGGAAAAGACGGGTAATTATGTATGACTGTTTGAAATAGAGACAAGGCACTGACCAATACGTACAGTAAATAGCTGACTATTTTAAAGTTTATGCTTCTTTTTATTTTGTCGTGTTTACTCAGTGTGTCATTTCGTATTGCATAGTTCCTACTTATGATCCGTAGAACTTTTAATTTCAAAAATCAAAAGTGTTATGCGATAATGATTTTTATTGTAAATTTGAATATTTAAGATATTTTTTGAAGTTCTCTCTATACCACATTGGCGTGGACTCTTCTGACAACGCCAAGCGTAATAGTTTTTCAAGTACGGGTGATTTCTTTAAATGTCATGTCATTTTGTGCATCATGTATTGATTATTTCTCGTGAACATCAAGTCATACATTCGTGCATTATTATGTAAGGTGAATGACTGGCGAGCGAGTCGGGGAATATGTGCAAAAAAGAAGCCTTGTTTTAAGGTTTATATGTATTGCCAAATATCAGCTCTTTATATCGTCTCAAATTTCATTTGTGACCTTGCCTATTTGCCTGTTGTATTAAACGTATAATGTAATTGAATGTTCTGAATATAATTTAATGCGTATAATTATGTTAGACTTAATTTTGTCCAATGACTGTTTCTCATTGGTCAGCTGTGTCGTTGGACCTTTCATCATCCTACAACTGATCCGCTTTTTTACGCCTTGTACAAACAAAAAAATGTCGTAGCTAATTAAAACCATATTCGACTTTGAGTTCGCTTCAGCTTAGCCTATGTTTTCAATGACAAGTTTCATGCACTGTGCTCGCCGTTCACAGTATTTGCTTGTATACAGGCAACGTGTTGATATCAGAGAATGTAGTACATGTACCGAAGACAGTAACACGTCTCCAAGTTGTTCACATGTATCAAGCCCAGAAAGCAAAGTTTTTAATGAGACAGAAAAAAATTGTTTTTATTCTTTGCATAATTGTACTAAGGTTATGAATCTTTCCTTGCTTTTTTTCCCCAAATTTTGAATTTGAATTTCGACAAAGTTGTTCTTGAGCCCATGCGACCAATCCTGCAGAACAAAAACAAAATTTTTTTTTTAAATGTTGGGCTTTCAACATCTGAACAACTGGTCAAAAAACCGCTGAATTTGTATTGACTACTACAATATGAACGTTGTTCTTGTGTCAGTAATGAAAAAAATTGGTTTTGTTCCGAAAGGTTGGGCTTTAGGAAAATTTTGGGCCCAAAATGATTGAAGAATGCTGGTTTAACTTTCTGGGTTTATATTTTTCTTTCTGAGAGAGAAGATTAATTACTTTCACTTTCAAGAAAACCATAATCATAAGCACATGCTATTTTACTACCTCCCTTATGTGTCGATGTACACTCTGTTCAGGCTTCATTCCCCGACCCCCATGCCCTGCTCTAGTTCAGCAACACACACGCCTCCCTTTTCCTTTTCTGTAACCTCCCCCCACTCCCCCTTTTCTCTACCCACCTCCTCCACTTACACACTAACTCCTTTCATACGTCTACACATGTATGCACCCACAAGTTTTCTCTTTCTCTCTCTCTCTCTCTCTCTCTCTCTCTCTCTCTCTCTC